AGGAGGTAGATCACACCGATAGGTCACAAGATAGAGTCCGGTAGGTCTCCGAAATGGTAGTCCAGAATGTCATATAACAAGATCAAAATGTCGAGGACCAAAGGTCACCAATGTCGGAGATAACCGACTCCGGATGTAACCGGTGTCCAACTGTGATGCAGCCGAGTATCAACCTCAACAATCTCCAAGTCTCCAATCAGGTAAGTACCACAGTCTCGTATCACCGAAGTCCAACTCTGATCTCTGTCCAACTGGATAGTCTCCAATCTGAAGAAGAAGAAGAAGAAGAAGAAGAAGAAGAAGAAGAAGAAGAAAGAGGAAGAAGAGAGAGAGAGAGAGAGAGAGAGAGAGGGGACTGGCGAGGGAGAGGAGGAGAGACCCTCCAAGATCCCGGTACCTCAGGCGGCAATGGCCGCCGTGCTGGCTCAGTCGCCCTGCTGCTGCTCCGCTCACTGCTGCGCTAAGCTGCGCTATGCTGCGCTCCTGCTTCAGCCCCTGCGCTAAGTTTAGCGCATCAAAACAGTACCCTGGTACTGACCATGCCGTGCCGGTAGAGTTCCRGTAGGCCRATGCCTCAACTGAGGCGGGTACCGGTACTTATACCGGTAGGCAATGGTCTGGCCTCAATGCTGCGAGGCCAGGCCAGACCCTGGACCGTCCAGATGGACGGTTCAGCCTCAATCAGCGGGCGGCAGCTTCAAGAGCGCCGCCAGGCCCAAACGAAGTGTCGTTTGGGCCTACCCGATGGGTGCTGGTCCAAAATCAGGCCTTTAGGGCCTGTAACCCCAAAGGATGGGCCCTGGTGTGTCCCTCCGGCCCTAAGTCGGGTCCGGTAGGACCCGTGTGAGTCGAAGATGTAACAAGGGAGCACCTGGCTCGATTGAAAGGATGACATGAATTGCTAGTAGTTTATGGTAACAATCAAGCACTCTTTTCTTCCCAACCCAAACGGTCGCAGTAACTCTAACTGTCAACTTTTACAGCAGTTAAAAAATCTGGCGGCAGTTATAAACTCTGGCTATGTGCTGGAAAACTCGCAATTCTTACATACACTACCGGGAATTCATACATACGGCAGAAAGGCCACTCAAGTGGAGAAGTAGAGGAAATTAGCAGGCTCGGAAGAGGTGCACGCAAAGCATCTCTATCAATCCTCAGAGACACCGGGTATGCATCTGTTCACAAGGTAGGTTGGCATGGAAGCGAGAGGAAGACAAAGCACTCGTTGAAATTAACGGCAAGGTAGGGAAATGCAAAAACCACAAAGGAAGATAACCTCGCTTTAAGTCAGCAGAGTACGGCTACTCAAGAAGTGCAGCAGCCACCTACGTGTACATCAGGAGAGTAAAGGATCTCAATAGGTGTAACAAGCACCTATCGGTGCATCGGGAGAGTACAGCAACTCGAAGGGCATGAAGCACTCATTGAAATTAATGGCAAGGTAGGGAAATGCAAAAACCACAAGGGAAGATAACATCGGTGTAAGTCAGCAGAGCACGGCTACTCAAGAGATGCAGCAGCCTACGTGTACATCAGGAGAGTACAGCATCTCAACAGGTGTAACAAGCACCGGTGTGTGCAGCAACTCGAAGGGCATGAAAGAGCACAAAAGAAGAGTACCTACCCATACATCAGGATAACGAGGAACACACTTTCCGATCCAATCCAAACTAGAAGTCATGCAGAAGCAAAAAGAAAATAGGATTCGCAAAGGGCATGCTCGCGCTCGGACTTTACCAAAATTCAGTTACAAAAGTCCAATTGCGACTATGCCCTAAATAACATAGAGAAAGAGAACAGGGAACTATGGATGATGCCAATACCGATGGACGATCAGGTGATCTTTTGGGTGTCAGAAACGAAACGAAAATACGGCTCACGAAGGGTGTGCTCGCACTCGTACTTTCCATGTCATGTCTGTCGGTATCTAAGCCCAGATTCCGTTGAGACAGTCCCAAGTGCGACTATTCCGTAAATAACACAGAGAAAGAAAACAAAATCTTGATGATGCGGATACCAATGGAAGATCAGGTGATCTTTTCGATGTCCCTTCTTCCAATTGCCTTTTTTAATCTTGCCGAATTCAGAAAACAAAACACTTCAAAACGGGCAAAACAATAGGCACAGCCACACCCCTTGCCCCGGCCCGACTCGAGAGACAGGGCTGCCTGCACCTTCCCCTAATCATCATCCCATGAAAACAAATCCCACTCTGGTCAGTACGTTGGTGCGTTGATGCTCACCAATGTCAGAAGAGAGCGTTCGTTCGCTGTTGCCACTGCAGGAGATTTCCAAAGAATAAAAGGAAACTGGGATCAGCGGGGACTTGAAACCCGGTACCGCTTTCGTTTTTTCCTTTGTTTTATTTTCACAGAAATCCCATCACCACCTTTGTCTGCAGAAGAGTGCCCCCCCTCATAATAAAGTACCGGTTTCCCTAATCTCCTAGGAAATGTGCCAGTTGGGATCAGGGCCTTTCTTGCCACTTTAGGGCGTACTCCCACTACGCCCTTTTTCACTAATTTGCAGGGTTTTCAAAGCAGGGGAAAAGTGGTGTAGCCCAGTCAGACTATCCAGCTCTTGCATATGAGGGAAGATTGCTTCACCGCTCAATTTGCTCCCCTCAATGGCTGTATTGTTTTGTTTTTTTTACTGTATGATTTTATTATTCAGCATTTTACTAAAAAAGAAGATTGCCTAACAAAAGAAGAGAGGCCCTCGGCTGTCAATTTCGTATTGCTACTAGGCATGTACTACCTCGAGGTCACGCAACCTCAGTTTGGTTGGGATAGGAAGGTGTTGATACACAAGTTGCCAAATGGTAGGACCGTTAGACTGCAGAAGTACAAGGCTAGCAGTCTAGTGGAGAACTACGGCTGCATGTGTCCTTCCTCTTTCTATAACTACTACAAGCAGAATCACGAGGAGGGCATGTATCTAGTCTTTGTCTCTGAGAAAGGGGAGGTCGTTAAAACACCCCCAGAGATAGAATCAGTCGTCGCACAATATTGGAAAACGATTTCTCTTGTGTTCATCCGACTTCATCAGCAGTTTCTTATGGGACCACACTTGGGCCGTGGTCCCATAAGCAGCAGGATCATTATCAAA